TCAATTGCTAATTGAACAAATAATAACATTAAAAATAATAATAAGAAAAATGAAGATAAGACCTCAAAAAAAATCATCTCGATTCAAGCATAACTTCCGTTCTCATTACAATCAAATGACAAAAATAACGGATGAACTGAACTGACCATTGAGATGAGTCCAACGCGAGAACAAGCTTCTAGGTTACGATTGCTTTTACGCACCACTCCAACAAATACACTCCATATTTCTGCCTAAATTTCAAACTCCATCAAATAATTCTCTAATTAAATTCTAATGTTTCTACGATGAAGAACTCTTCGCAATATTCAAAAATTCATCTACAAAATTTTCATTCCTCATAAGATTTTAGTGAAATCACTCTCAAGTTATACACAATTTTATGTGAACAAATGGGAACGTCAATGATGAACGGTACACAAATGGCTCGATGAGGTGCTGAATATAACGAAAAAGAAATCAAAATAAAACAAAATCTGTTGGCTACCTGCAAGCGTTGTGGTGCTTCGTCGAGTAGATGCACCATACGAATGATGTTTTGTGAATCCTCAATAATGAATCTTGACTCCAAATCAAACGCACCACCAACCAACTACAAAAGAAATCATCATTAAAACTTTCGAACTGAAAAAAAAATCCAAAAGAAAGACAACCTATGACCTTGATGTGGTTCAAACCCCACTCTAAACGACCTCACCTAATTATCACTCCACCAGCTTAACCACTACACCATCGCTGTCTTCACCATTAAATTTTTAAATCTCTTTCACAAATGTTAAATCCATTGAAATCACGATAATTTCACTTACCACATTAAATACCGAGTCAACAATATCTTTATTTGATATTGTGTTTGTTTTCAAGCCATTCGATAGACGTTCAAAGGTTTCCTCTGAAGTTTCATCGGATGAGTGAATTACTGTGGTCGCAGGTAATTTCTTTTTTAATTTATCATCTTCATGCTGATTTGCATTTAACAACTGCTTTTGTTGCGTTATGTCTCTATTCGTTTGTGCTTTCAACGACTCGGGATCCGTTTTCTTCAACGACGTTTCAGCCGTTTGCTTCTTCTCACCTTCGACGATCATCTGAAAACAACTCAAACAATGTTTCAGTTCAATAATCATTTCCACAAAAGAATTCAAGGCAATCAATACACTGTAAATTCCTATTAAAATATGAGATGGATTAAGACGAAAACTATGCAATGACTGTGATTGTAAATAAACCGACGCATACTTATATCATTGATGAATGCATCAAAACAACAATGGGCCAATGATGACTGTACCAATCAATCAACACAATACACAATAATCAATGTAATCAACACAAAATTTTATAAGCCAATCGAACAGCCATGACGTATTAGGTATGGCAGAAGGTTCTCGGGCAGAAAGCAGTCTACAATGAAATACAGTGCAATGTTCCATCAGATCTCTTCGCCAGCGTAACTTCCTGCCACACATAATACATCAGCAAGCTGCCCAGGAACTTCGTGCCAAACCAAATATATCAGTAAGAATCAACGATTCACTTACAGATGAACGCTTCTCGCCAATTGTTTCATTCAGTTTACTGTCGTCACCGAACGCTCTCGGTGTTGTATTGCCTTGATCTTGGTCGTGTTCAACTTGACTCGAATATCGTACTGACGTTAGAACAGATTCATCCACTGAATCTTTTGACTGCTGCTGATGCAACGATTCTGAATCAAACGAGTCGAGTGCATCTGATGTGCTTCTTCGATCGGCCGATATCGATTTGCTCTCATCCAACGTTACATCGTCCATCTCTCCTTCATTCTCACTATCGCAGAGATTCTGAAAGTTTTCATTCCGTCGTTCACAACTTAACACAATCGGTTAGATATTACAGTTATATGTGTATATGAAACAGCATCAATTCTATCTCTAATAAAAATCACATAAATGAAAGTATTCATGATAACAATAAACATTTTCTCGTGCTTTTGAAAAATCAGCAAAACTCAGTGATCATGTCACAGCACAGAATCATTTTGCAAAGACCAGTGACGCATTTGAAGGAATAACAGATAGGATCATTGTTATCATGACCATTATATTTGTTCAGATCATCCTTGATCAGTTTCATTATCATTATGATCACTCAGCTATCACCAATTAATTGAATATCCCACTCATCACCCTTTAAAAATAATTTACTGAAGTATTCTATTCAGTGCTATCCCCATTACAGTTCAATTTGCTGTTATCATAAACCATTAAAATGATACCACCTGTGAGTGAATCAAAACACAATGAAAGATACTGATAAGAGAACGGTATAACGCAGAGTTTCAAAGCTTTTCGCTTTTGCACTATGAGACGTTCACATAGAAATACAACTCAAATCTAGCGAATGCACTAAAATCAAACATAAAAATCAAAACTGTTCATATAATCTTGTTAGTTCGAAATAAATTGCTTTCTAAACGATGATTAAGCATTTCGATTATGAACGTGGTACCATACAAATATAATTCATTTCGGGCTCGAAGTTCAATTTGAAGCGTCTCGCTGCATTTAAAATTCTAATGCAGCAAAGAGAGAATACACATAGCACTGAATAGAATATTTCAATAAATTGTCCTTAATGGTGAATGAGCAGGATGGATGTTCAATTAATTGGTGATAGCTGAGTAATTGATGACATACAAATACAAAACAATGTCGTATGCCTTCTCTCCTTGCTATATTTGAATGTTGCACACAACGAGACGTTTCAAACTGAAGTTAGAGCCCGAAATGAATTCTGCAAATGAGCATG